TTCGTTATTTATCAGCCACACACTACTGGGTTTTCCATCGTGACGTTATGTAATGTTTCGTAAAAATACTAATGTCCGATGAGAATCCACTGAAGTTAAATGAGTTGTAATGTTTGAACTTTGTAAATGCTCCTGGTCAAATATCTGAAGTTTTCTGCTTGATAAGCATGATAACAATCACAGTTATAGCTTCCGAAGTTTATAGCACACTGACTATAGCGAACTAATAATAGATACTCTCCTTTGGCTCATCCCGTTGGTTATATTTATAGGCTGCAGGGGCTTTCTAGAAAATTCAGATTACATAACAATACAAATTGTTGACTCTTACTGTAGAGATTCTTCTACAACTTTGGAGAATAGGCGGGAGTTTCGCAATACGTATTTAACTGTATAAGCTATATATGATTCTAAATATAAATTTAATCTAAACAAACGTTGATATTAAAATAAATATATAATAAATTTGTTACAAAACACAAAAATCGTTATTTTATTTATACTAATTTTTTAATATGAAATAAAACTTCTGTTTTTTCTTTTTAAGGCTTTCACTTATTAAAAGTAAAAGATTTAATTATTTATTCAGATGAACAGGTGGATGGTGAAGCACCACTTACGAGTAACAGCAATGTTTCATGGAAGCATGGCAGACAGTTGCTCAGACAGTAAGTTGAAAATTTTTCCCAGTAACTGAGCTGCTATTCATATGAATAGCAAAGAAGGTTATTTTTTTCTAGAGAAAATGTGTAAAAGTGAATAAAACTGTGGGCTCTTGGATGAGAATGATGTTTAAAAGTTTTTGATTTTTAAAGCTATCCAAATGTGATAATATTGTAGAAAGTTTATATTCCAAAACAAACTTACCTTTGCTAACACTATAGCTATTTCTTGATCTCCAGGGTTTCAACTCTTTGCCCCTCTAAACACTGAAAATGCTTGCTCCAGTCTTTTATACCCCACTCAAATGCACTTGGTAAATTCTAATTTGCAAAATTCTCCACCAACTTCAATGCACCCTATATCTAGGTACTAATATAAGCACCTTATTCAGATAATATAATCACTTTTTTATTGACAAAGCATTTGGCATGGGTTTCTATAAACAGGATTGATGTGATTATTCACAATTTATGTTGCATCTTTGAATGTGGTTGGCATTACTATGGTTATATCTTCATTTATATTTATAAATTACTTTTAAAGAAACATACCGAGTATGAATTCCCGAGTTAATGTTTCTATTATGGAAGCATTTGGCTCCTTCCTTGTTGGCAGAAAGGATGGCAAGTGACTAATTGGTTTTTCCTCCTTTTTCTGATATTGCTGTTCATGCTGGGAGATTTGCTGCTCAGTTACGTGACAGGATGGCTCTGCCTTGACCCTCATATTTATTGGAACAGCATGCTTTGGCTTATAACTGCCAGGAGGAGGTATATATAGATTCTCAATGTATAAACAGATAAGTTTTCTCGGATTTGTCTTACTCTCACGACTGTCCTGGGGTATTTATCTTCAATCCAACTTTTGTCAGAAGCCTATCAACGTTCCTCTCAGCAATTTGAGGATGAGTTGGGGATTTTGCTGACATCTACCTCATTCAGATTGTCTTTTTTCTGTTCTTCCTCTGGCTTCCTGGCTGGTTTGTTTTTAGGATTTATTGGATAGTGACGCTTTGTTAGAAAGTGTTTGTTTACCATCTTCTGCCTTCTCCATCCCAGGTTGTTTCCAGAGTTTTAGAGACATTATAATCATGAATTGATTCAGCCTATTTACCATCTTCTGCCTTCTCCATCCCAGGTTGTTTCCAGAGTTCTAGAGACATTATAATCATGAATTGATTCAGCCTATTTACATTCTTCTTTATCATCATTGGCTTCTTGCCTTTCTGGCACTAATCTGGTAGTGTTGGCTCGTAGTGTTTCCTGACCCCCTCTTTCAGTTCCCATAATGGAGTCCGTCCATATCCTTGATGATCTTCGGCTTGGGCGGACCTACGACAATGGCATCAGAGACTATCCTGTGGGTGAGGGAACAGTGGGAACACAATTACATCACTTTCTGGACATTTGGAGTTCTTTCAGGAGGGATCCATTGGAACTCCATGTTCTGGCTTCAGGGTTGATCATTCAGTTCACATCTCCTCCACCATTATCTGCATAACCTGTTGCCTTTTCACATCTTTTCAGATCTTCGGCAAGTGGACCTTCGTTCCCAGACCGTTAGAGAGTTGTTAGTCAAAAGGGCAGTAGAGAGGGTTGATCCTGTTCTTCCGAGATTTTATTCCCATATATTCATTGTACCCAAGAAGACGAGATTGGCATCCAATCATCGATTTGTCTCAACTCAACCAATTTTTATATCCTCCTTGCTTTACAATGGAATCTGTTCTCAACCTACGATGGGACTTTGCGCTGGGGCTCTGGATGACCAAGTTCGATGTTAACGATGCCTATCTCCATATTCCTATAGTGTAATCTACCAAGATATTTCTCATATTTCTGCACAAAGGTCAGGTGCTGCAGTTTAGGGCTCTACCTTTTGATCTTGCATCAACACCTTATGTCTTCTGCAGAGTTGTTCAAGCTTTTTCTCATCATCTGCATTTTGATCTTGCATCAACACCTTATGTCTTCTGCAGAGTTGTTCAAGCTTTTTCTCATCATCTGCATTCCTTGGGTCTGTGCACACATCATTATATGGATGACTGGCTCCTTCTGGCACCATCCCATCAATTAGCAGAACAACACTCTCAGATTCTCCTTTCAGAAGCTACAAAAGCAGACTTCCTTATCAGACTGGAGAAATCTATTCTGTCACCAATTCAATATTTCATCTATCTGGGTGTGTTTTTCAATACTCACTTAGTTGTGCTCAACTAACCCCTATTAGGCTTCAAGCTATGGAAAGAGCCATGAGGCTTTTACTTATGTCTCCCAAGGATGGTTTTCTATCTTTTGGGGATGTGGGTATCCCTTGAGCCTTTTATGCATTTGGGATGACCACATATGAGGTCCCTTCAGTGGTCACTGCGGGATCAATGGATCATGCATTTCGATCCTTTGGATCATCCTATCTCTTTACTCAGGAGCAACATTGTTGACTGCAAATAGTGGTTGGATCGGAACAACACTACAATTGGGGTATCCATTCCACCACCTCGTCTTGAGATCCATTTGTTCACAGACACATCTCTTCAGGGATGGGGAGCTTATCTTCTAGATCAGGAGTTCCAAGTTACTTGGATAGAAGACAAGTCTACCCTTCATATCAACGTTCTCAAACTTCTTGCAGTACGCCAGGCAATGGTTCAAGGTCTGTCTCTCTTTGAAGGGAAAAATTGTCATGATACATTCCAACAATTCCATGGTGGTATTTCAGATTTCTCGTCAAAGAGGCATACATTGTTGAGACCTTTGTTATCATACCTTGGATCTACTCTACTGGGCTCATTCCCATCATATCAGTCTTTTAACATGTCATGTTACAGAAGTGATGAATTTAATTGCAGATCACTTGTCTCGACCCAACTGGCTTCTTTCAACGGAACGAATGTTACATCACGAGGTTTTTCAGTGTATTTGCTCTCAGTTCGGGTCTCCAATGATTTATTTCTTTGAGAGTCATTGGAATTCTCAACTGCAGTTGTTTTGATCTCCGTTACCTTATCCTCAAGCATTGGAAGTAGATGCGTTCAGTCAGGACTGGGCAGGTTTACATCTGTATGCCTTTCCCCTGATTTTGCTATTGCCCCAGGTTCTGACTATGGTTCGTTCCACTCCCTGTCTAGTTCTCTTGGTTGCACCATATTGGCCAGCTCAAACATAGTTTCCACTTCTTTGATATATGCAGGAATGTCCACCTCAACCTGTTCCACATTGACAGTCTCTGTTGAGACAACCTTGATCTGACATTCTCCACCCAGATGTTCGGAAACTCAATATTCATGGTTAGAAGTTATGTGGTCCTTTGCCAGACATACGGTTTTAACTTGTAAGGTTTCTCTGTATTTAACTAAATCTCTCTTAGGCCAACCACGGCCATTTATCAACAGAAATGGAATACTTATCATCAGTGGTGTATTAAAAGGAATTTAAACCCTCTTCATCCTAGAGTATCTACCATATCCCATTTTATGACTTGGATATTTGAGAGGAGTCCTTATCCACTATTTTTTGGTATTCCACATATTGGAAGGTTTTGAGTCCTCAGTGCTATCAAATTTACTCAAATCCTTTCATATTCTTTGACCCAAATGACCTTTTCAGTTACTGAATTGTCTTTTCCTCCTCTTGAGCCCTTAGTTTCACCTTTCTCTTAAATTGTATTTTTTTGTTGGTGTTGGCTTGTGGACGTCGTTGGTCGGAGTTGTTTGCAATCCATGTGCGTCGGACTCTTTTATCATTCCACATTTGTCCTGCTTTGTCCTGATAGGCAATCAGGGAAGGGGAAAGACCCTTCTCACCAATCCATTTGCCTGCCATTTCTCACTTTTATGACCACTCTGATCCTGATCATCTGTTATGTCCTGTTAGGGCCCTCAAGTCTTATGTGGCTCGTACTAACTCATTTTGAGGTAGTAGGAATCGATTGTTCATTCATTGGAATCCTTCTATTTCCCATGATTTATCTCCCATTACCATAATGAGTTGGCTTTGTAAACTGATTCACATGGCCTATAAATGATTATTGTTACAGGAAAGGAATCTTTTGCATGTCATATATCTGTCATTAGCCACCCAGTTGAATTACTCTCTGGAAGACAGTTTACAGGCTGGTATGTGGACTACTCTTAATACTTTCCAGTTGCATTACTTACATGATCTGGTAGTTTCCTTTTGTAGGGATTTTGACCACAACTGTTAGATTTTACCCAGAGGTGTTTTCTGCAATCATATACTCTTTTATTTCCAGGGTCCCTTTAATTTTCACTTAATCCCACTCTGTGGCAAGTGTTGCCCAGGTAGGTATGCTTTCTCTTTTCAATTCTGCACTAGAAACCACTTTTACTATAATTACTATAGGTTGCAATAGGCTCTGTTGAAATAGGGTGTTCCATAAGACCATCTAGGTGCCTACCAGATGGTATTACCTTATGGACTATCATGAGTAAAGCTACAGGGGATCCTACCCATCCCTGCTGATCTTCAGGTTGAATAAATCCAGATCAGTTTGCTTTTAAAAATGTAGGGAACTTGGTTCATCTATTGCACAATTTCCAGAGCACTGTTCTTCAGGACTCCACAATGCATATTACCCCCCAGACTCTACTAGTGGAGCTTGGGAGTCCTTACCACCCCCCAGTTTCCAGTCATTGGGGTGATGGACAGAGGCTTTTCCTCCAGAGTGTTCAAATGTGTTTTTCCACTCTTGGAGAAGGGCAAAATTGGGGGCTCTCCTACTCAGGTTCCTGGATGTTAGTAGGAGTATCACCAGCCTCCATGAGAGCCTAATTGTAATTCCGGTTAAGATTTGACACAAAGCTATCTGGTTGAGGGGTGCATGGCCCTTCTCTTTGATCAATGTCGATTTTGTATATTGTTCATGGAAGGAGGTCCACTATCCCCTCATAATTCTGAATGCAAAGTGGTCCCATCCTAGGATCTTGGTCGAGCACAGGTTCCACATCCTCTCCATAATTCCAAGAGGAGCAGAATACTCTTTGCCCACTTGGTTAGGAAGTGAGGATGAATGTTCATAATTCCAGATCGGATGAGCTCTGTTTTTTTGGTTGAGTATGATATACATGATCCCATCATTCTTAGCCTGGGGTGTTTTTATTTGGACTTCTTCAGGTGGAGGAGAAAGTTTGTCCACTTTGGTGATGCGTACTTTCTTGTCATGATTCTGGTGGTGCGAAATGCATCACTCTATGGACATAAATTGGGATCCAATCAAAGTATATATGTATGTGTGTGTGTATAACATTATGGGCCAATAGCCCGAGCCACCAACTTGGGATATAGGTACTACATCCTCTTAATCCAACCCCCAGTTGTGGATCCTTAGCTATCTAGTTGGGGCTGGCCTATACTGATGATTACTCATATTCTATTCCACTTTTGCTATAGGAACTGAGTTTCAGGTGAAGAGCGTATCTGTTCTGGATGTAGTGTGGTTCCCCCACTCTTGTACTATTTTATCTTGGTACACTCCTGTTCTATACAGACGGTTTCTATATGGTTCATGCCTGGACTGGTCCCTCCACTTTCTCAATGTGGGATTCTAGCTATAGTGTCAGCAGAAGTAAGTATGTTTTGGAAGTTAATGTTTTCCTAAACTGAAAATGTATTTCCAATAATACTTACCTCTGCTGACACTCTCCCATCCTACCTCCCCATTAAAAGCTGGTTTATGTGTTGAAAAAGTGATTACGTTATCTGAATGAGGTGCTTATATACAGTACCTAGATAAAGGGTGCATTGAAGTTGGTGGAGAATTTTACAAATTAGAATTTGCCAAGGGCATTCGAGTGGGGTATAAAAGACTGGAGTAAGCATTTTCAGTGTTTAGAGGGGCAAAGAGTTGAAACCCTGGAGATTGAGAAATAGCTATAGTGTCAGTGGAGGTAAGTATTATTGGAAATACATTTTCAGTTTAGGAAAATGTTAACATTTGTATGAAGTACTATAGAATTTGAAAAGCTTCAGTAACTTTAAAGTAGTGTAGATGGTAAGAGGATTATCAAAACTCAACTTATGGTACTGCTTGATAGTTTGTTAATCATGTAGTAAATAGCTCCTATAAGAATGGACTGATGTAGAAATTAAACATAATGCGTTTGGTTGAAAGTGATAAGATGGAACAAAACAACTGTTTTTAAATTGTATGTCAAATTATGATATATTTTATAAGACATGTAAAGATAGAAAAATAATCTCAGGTTTTTTAGAATGTACAGTAAATGGTGTGCCACTGTATGTAGCTTTATTTTTTACTTTTTAAAATACCACTAAGGAATGTGATTCACACAGACTGTAAAAGATATATAAAACTTATTATATCTTTAAAAATTATTGAACATTATTTTTTACACTATAGAGTCTTTAAATTCCTGAATTGAGAATATTAATTAAAACTACAAAGTGAAGCTGAATAGTTTTTTAGTGCTCTTCA